ACCCTCGGGTTTGGGTCGTTACACCACCACAAAAAAGAAATTTTTTTTTTTTTTAACTATACTAATATCCCAGCCCAAAAAAATATATATATTAATAATATTGGCCCACCTCAGCCTCCCACCTAAGAATTTCCAAGAGCAACCATCATCAGCTAGGTTTCGATCTCTTTACCAAAGGCAAAAGAATGCCTCCATTAGCTGCTCACACTCATGTTGGTGAGTCAATTCAATACCCTTCCACGTTCGCAAATTTTTTTTTTTTTTTTTCTAATTTCCACTTATTTTCCTCCAAATTCTTGAATTGAATCATGCAATCTTTTTTGTTTACACTCTTAACTTTTTTATGTTTAATATTAGCCCATCCCAACAAGAAATCTTGGATCCGCCCTTGCCGGTAGATAACAAGTGTGTAATATTTTAACTAACACTTAGAAGAATGTAAAAGTTCACATGTGGCAGAATTATATAGTAACAACTGGCTATATAATTCAGCCACAAAATGGGTATAATTAGTACTCCAAATAAGTCGTAAAAAAGAGGGATGCTGGGCTACACTTGGGCTATTTATGAGAGGCAAAAATCATATTAAAAGAATATGTTTTTAGTTTCTTAAATTCAAGTATAATGGGTGCTATAGTGTATTAATTAATTTAGTTCCTACAATTGAGGGTGTTAACTAGCTATATGGAGCATTTTTACAAAAAAGAGTGTAGATCAACTCAATGCTACAAATAAGGTAGTGGGTTGCACACTTGGTAGTCATAGAGATGATGATAAAAGTGAGGCCTCATATTAAGGTAATGGGTATTAGATCGTTGATAATGGCTGTACAAGTTATAAGTCATAATTCAAGTGGGTAATTACCTGCCTAATACTTAGACAAATGATGATAGATCATGGAGAAAGAGGACAAGAGACCTGCCATCAAAAAAGGAATTAAAACTAAAGAAGTTAAACTACATCAAATGGATCAGGATCAGCTTCAGTTGCATAGTGCATTCATTTCCTCCAATTGAAATAAGTGGCTAAGAAAGTGTTACATCAATTAAAAAAATTCGGTAACTAATTTTTCACCACCCTTGTATTCTAACTTTAAATATATATATAAGCTTTAAATGTTGTCTTCTAACTTTAAATAATATTTCCAAAATACGCACTGTAGGAGAGAAGAGACGGTTGTCTTCCTTTCTCTCTCTAAAAGCTTCCATTAATGGACTCCCTAAGGACTCACAACAACTTTTGAACTTCAAAACTTCACTTCAAAACCCAAACACACTCCAAAACTGGCTTCCCAACAACAACCCATGTAATTGCACTAGAGTATTATGCAGAAATTGTTCATCTAAATCTCGATTTTGGGACGTTTCTTCTTATCCGATTACTCTTCCCAATTTAGTGTTTCTCCGATTAAAGTGAATGACTATCATCCAGTAAGATTATGTTGGGATGTTAAAGGCCCGTTTGGAAAGTGTTGTGTTTTGTAGTGTTTTGTTTTAGCCTAGAACATAACAACTGTTTTGTAATGTGGTATTCTGAAATGAGAACAAAACATGTTTGGGACGAAAATTTAGAGTGAGAATTTTGGAATAGTAATTAATTTTTTAAATTTTTTGGATGATTAAAATAAATTAATTATAAAGCTTGATTAGTTTGCAAAACAAGAATTATAGAGCTTGATTAGTTATTTAGAAAAAAAATTAAAACAAAACCCATACATACAGGCTAGCAGTTGTAGAGAGAGAGAGAGGGGGCAAGCTTGAGAGTTAAGAGGGCGGCTGAAGCTTGCGAATGGCAAACCAGAACTAGAACAGCGGCCGATGGAAACTGAAAGATATGGGTTTTGATTTTTTGAACAATCTGAAATGATATGCCGATATGGGGGTTTTGATATAGGTAATATGTTTTAAACTTTTAATTCTTGCAGATAGATACATAAACTAATTTTTAGGGAAAATATTACCTAAATTATAGAGAAGCTACTGCTATAAAATAGAACTGGACTATTCTACAAATCAACAGAAAATTAAGCTGAGTTTAAGCTTAAAATCCACAAATCAATAAGAAAACAACATAAAAAAGCAGAAATAAAATAGCATTTCAAAGATTGGTAGAGAAATTAAGTTAAAAACATTTACTTTCACTTGAAAATTTTCAAAATCAGCTAAAAGAGTGTAGAAATCAGAGGTAAAAAAAGAGAGCTTGAAACCAATCTCTCTCTGGAACAGCTCAAAGAACACACATTACCTGAGACTTCACAAATAACAAGAGAAGAACAAAGCCCTAAAAAGCAGACTCTGTTAACAACATAAATTAGAGAGAGAAGGTGAAGAGATTCTAGAGAGATAAAGCCCTAAAAAGCAGACTCTGTCAACGACATAAATTAGAGAGAGAAGGTGAAAAGATACTAGAGAGAGAAAGAGAGAGGGAGAGAGAGATTTTAAGTTGAGAGATACATAAACTAAAATATATGGGTTTTGAACTTTTGATTCTTGTAGATTTTGTAGTTTGCAGTTACAGAGAGAAAGAGAAGGCAAGTTTAGAGTTGAGAACGAGAATAGAGATGGAGACGGGTTTTGAACTTCTGATCCTTATAGATTTTGTAGTTTGCAGTTGCAGAGAGAGAGAGAAGCTATCATGATACGTCTGCATAGGGTTATAAACAAACCTTATTCATGTATTGAGAGACAGAGAGAAACAAAGAGAGGTTGTAAGAGAAATAGAGTAACTTTGGTGAGGGTTGTGACTGTGGCTTAAAGGTCAGGCCTAGGAGGAGGGAAGGTTAAGCAGTAGGAGGTCGACGGTGAACGAACGTCGTCAAGAAACTTAGGAAGACGGCGACAAGGTTTTGATTTCCAAAACTGCACAAGCAAGTTCTATTTCTATCTCTTTCCCTTAAACCTGTGTTCTGTGTATGCCTAGGGAAACTCCAGGAACTTTAAGTTGTTAAAATCAACCATGTATGCATGCTAAAACTTGAATTATAGTATGTTAATTGTATGTGTATATGTTTAAATTTTATTTAAATTTTATCGCATGAGTTGTGATTTTAACTTGCTTAAATTATGCATAAGAGGTTTACATAATGTTTAGGGTTGTGCTGGACTTAAAACAGTAGCCTTAGGACCTTAACGGAGAAAGATGTAGTCGCCGGAGCCGCAGAAAATGAACTGCCATAGTTTGGTTAACCGGTTTGGTGCACACGTCAACCAGTTTGCATGAACCGGTCGACACCTTGGTGATTTGGTTGGCCGATTGGTTGAAACCAGTTGACTCCTTGTAGAAAAACATCAACTGGTTATTAAACCAGTCGACATCTATGATGAATCAGTTGACATCAGTGGACTTTTGCAAACCAGTTGACATCTAGGAGTTTTACATCAACCAGTTTAGGCAAACCAGTCAATACTTGGGATTTTACATCAACTGGTTCTTGTAATCGTCATATGGGTTGACCAGTGTAGGATTTTGGCACATGGGTTGGTATCTAGGGATGGTTGGGCCTAGTTAAATAATTTTAATGAATTTCTTGGACCCAATAATTAACTGGAATACATAATATACAATGATATACTAGGTTTGGAATAAAATTATCTTAATGGTTAATTTATGGGTATTGTTTTAAACTATTTTAAATCAATCAATAGAATTGAAATAGTTTAATTATGTTGTGGATGTTAGATGGTCTATTTGAGATGCCTAATAATTTGTATAAAATAAATTATATGCATGCTATTTAGATTTGTTATTATGGCTAAATAATATGCAAAAATTGTACCTATGTTTTATATCATGGCCATATGAGATCAATGGATGTATTTATAATTGTATGCATCTTTGTTTGGTTTAATGCACCGGTATAAGACGGTGGCATTCTAGGGACGGATTAACTAAAAAAGTTAAGTCCTACTTATTCCGAAATAAGTTGGATTAACTATAAAAGTCAAGTCCTACTTATATATATGTATATGCATCGGTATGGGACGGTGGCATATTAGGGATGGCTTAGTTCAAAACACTAAGACCTACCTATACTAGGGACGGATTAGTTCAAAACACTAAGTCCTACCTATTCTGAAATAAGATAGATTAACTACAAAGGTTAAGTCCTACTTATAACTATGTGTCAGGTCATTAAACCTTTTGAATGACAAACCTTGAACGGACTTTATATATATTATTATGGTACTATGATATGAGCTTGAGTCTCAGGACCATGGTTAGGGTGCGTATATCGCCTAGGATAGATATCTGGACAGAGGTGTTGTTCCTTGGTAGGTCTAGGTACTCATGACCACATTATGTGCGATTTGCATGGTATCTCTACTCAGGCTGAGACAGACTTATTGGACTAGTGAGGGTCCTATAGTGTATATATATACATATATGGACTATTCTAGATATTATTGAGCTATCTAGGATGTATCTACATATCGGGTTTCTGTATGGATCGTAGTAGAATAGGACTTGCGTGTGGGCCTGACCCACTCTCTTATTTTTCAGGTGCTCGTCAGTTCCGGGGTTAGAGCTTGGTTGTGTAGAGCAGATACAGACATTCATTCCTCTGACTACGTAGGACTACTTTCTATGTTTAGCTTTAGATTTTATTTTAGTTGTTTCAGTTTCAGTTTGAGATATTAATTGGGGTCCATAGGATGGATTCCCGAGTTGTTTTATTCTGTATTATTGGATTTTAACATTATTAACTTTTGAGGATTTTATAATTAAAATTCTTTTCAGCTTTAATATTTATTTTATAATTTAGTTTTGTATTCCGTGTTCATTTTTAAATATTAATTGTTTGATATTCCCTCAGGTTCGGGCTTAGGCCTAATCAACCCATGTCTCGGATTCGAGGGGTATCACAGTTGGTATCAGAGCACTCCAGGTTCAGGTGTCTCAAGGATTCTATCGTATAAGACTTTCGCATAGCGTTTTATCTTGATTAGAGCTTAAGTTTAGGATTCGTTGTATTACTTTACGGTTCGGTCTATATGGTACTGATGTCTGTCTTTCTGTGTTAACAGAATGGTAAGCACTAGAACTAAATGAAACAATCAGTGACGAATGGAAGATGATGAGCGCTGAAAAATACGTATTTAAACCCCTTAAGCTTAGGTATTCTAATACCTTTATCTATCTTACTTTACCGTTTTAGATTGATTTCGTGTTATTTCCATTTTCAGGCACTTATCCCAAAACTAAGCTAACTCAGCCAAATAAGAGCAAAAATGAAGCAATTCTGGGATGAATTAAAGAAAGGAGCCAAGTGGAAGCAAAAGGAAGCAAAAGGTGGAATTCAACATCTTCGATCAATCTCAGATCAAAGTTCGGTCGATCCAACATGATCAATCTCAGCACTTTAAGATGGATCAGAGCCATGATGACATTTTCAGAGATCTCAAAAGTTCAATAGATCCAACATCATTCTTCGATCGATGGAACTACCTTATCCTTATCCAAATGATTGATCTTATCTAGTTGTACCACCCTATCAACCATTTTTGTCCTTTTCCCAAAAATATCTTCGAAATATCTCAGATTTGTTTTTATCCAAAAAGGTGCCACTATTGAGGATCGATCCAACTTCAGTTCGATAGATCTCAGCCATGTTCGATCGATCCAAGTCTAAGGTTCGATGGATCGAACTTCCTCCAGTGCGAAAAAGTTAAATTTTCAGCTCATTGAAAGCTGTCCATATCCAATCATTGGGGAATATTTTGTGCACGACCCCAACTCATTTTGTGTGTCACTTGACCTACCTATATATAGAATATGATACACTTTTTAAGGGGGATTCATATATCACAATAGAGGCTATTCTTAAGGAGGAATAAAGGAGGAGAAGGCTAAAGACAAAAGCTTGGGAGCTCTTCATCAACCAAGGAGTAGATTTCTTCCATGGAGTTTGCCGTTGAGGGTTGGAGAAGCATTACCATGAGTGGTTAGACATCCTCTTGGGGCTAGAGTTAGCCCCAAGCAGGCTTTTTACATCTTAATTTTGTGTATTATTGAGGGATTAGTGTTGTAATACATGTTTTGGCACTTTTATGTATATAGATCTTGTTTATTCAATGATTTATGTGGTTTAATGCTTCCAATTGATCATTTCATTCTATCCATATGTCTATGTATGCTAGAATAGATGTTCATGTGTTTGTCTCTATTTCTTGTGTTATTGATGCATGTTTATGTGTATTAATGCCATAGATCTAGAGATTGTCAAGACATAATGCTTAATGGAATGCTCTTGTAATTTTCTTGATGGTTCATGCTCATTTCTTAATGGATTGTGCCTCTCCCTTAGCTTAATTAGTTTAATTTCATGTTATTAGCTTAATTGTAGTGTAGTGGTAGCAAAGTTGTTAGATGGGAGGACAATCCATGCTTGTTATTTGATGTTCCATACTTTTGAATTCAAGTAGCATATGTCTCTAACCTTGAGGTGTATTTGGCTTGTGAGCTTAATGAAAGGATTAATGACTTACTAGATATATTGTGCTTTTCACATGCTACTTAGATAATATATACTTAATTGTTAGATATATTATGTTTTTCACATGTTGATTAGACAATATATACTTAATTGGTCACCCTTACTAATTGAATCAACCAAACACACACACACATCAATATTGCAACAAACATTTCCCTCATTAGTCACTTGTTAAGGGTGTAGAAAAGTATTGTTTGGTGGTGACCTCTAAACCCCAAGATCTCTCTCTTTTACTTACTCTTTATTGCATTTAATTATTTAGTTTAATTTACTCTCTAGTTTAATCAACCAACCAACTATTTGTTTGATCACTCGACCTACTAACTCTAATAGTGATTCCACAAGCTAGTACAATAACTCAATCCCTTGGGACGATCCCTACTCACTCTTGCTACGTTAGTAGTAGTGGTGGTAGTGGTTTTATAAATTTAAACTTGACCTAAAAGGCTTTTCTTGAACCGCACATTCACTATATTATTTTGACATATAGGAACGGCCGCCGTCAGAAGAGGCACATAGGAAGCAAGATTTCCTACGGCATCAGCGAATGGAGGAAGAACAACAAATGCCTGAGTTACAGGACGATGATGGTCAGTTTCATGAAGAACAGGAGGGAGTACAGCAGGCTCAGGATTAGGTCAGGGATCCAGATATAGGAGCGGCTACCGTCAAATTTTGGCGCCGTTGCCAGGGATTAGGCAATGTCGTATTTATGGAATCAGTTAGGAATTAGTACTTTTTTTATCGTGTCTTTACTTCGTTTTTATTTTTCTTTTGATTACTTATTGTGTTTGTTCATCTTTGACAAGGTGCATTGAGCTAGGAGGCAAGCAAAGGAGCTACCAAGCAAAGCAAAGCTAAGCAAGCAAGGAAAAAGGCTAAAAATTAAAAAATTGCTAAGCTAAGCTAAAAATTTAGAGTTGAAGTGCTAAAAGACCTTTGTGAGCTTTTCTTTACTCAATCCCTTAGTTAAATCATCGGCCCGCGTGGAGGCTTGTATTTCAATTCTTAGTTAAATCGTAAGCCCGTGTGGAGGCATTTTAATTATTCTTTGCATTGTTATCAAAGCATGGGAGTATGGGATCATTGAATGTGGAGGAAGTTTGTTGATTATTTACTTGTTGCGAAGGAGGAGTGTTTGTTTTGTTGTGATTTATGTGTCGCTTGTAGTCTTGTATAGACCTTGTCATATCATTCATTCTAGGCATTCACATGGAAAATCTAGAGGGTAATCTTGGCTACTTAGACCCACGTTTCATGCAAAATCCCACTCTTAATCAACATAGCCCAGGAGTTCAAGCTCCAATTCTTCCAATGGCCCTTCGTAATCATTATAATCTTCATACATACCATGCACCTACTTGCATTGTGTTGCCTAATTTTGAAGCTAATCAATTTGAAATCAAGCTCGAGACCATTCAAATGTATCGACTCTTTTATGGCTTAGATGAAGAGGAACTATATAGGCATCTTAATGAATTTCTTGAACTATGTTCCACCGTGAAGTACATGGATGTCCCAGAGGAAGTTTTTAAATTACTTCTCTTTCCTTTCACGCTTAAAAATAAAGCAAAGCATTGGTTCAATACTTTAGGGGTAAATTCAATAACATCTTGGGCACAAATGTAAAATAAATTTTTGAAAAAAATTTACCCCGTAAGTTTGACCAATGTAATGCGTGCTTTAATTAGAGAATTTTCTCAAAGGGAAGGAGAGTTGTTGCATGAGGCTTGGGAGAGATTGAATGACTTGCTAAGAAAGTGTCCACATCATGGTATTCTAAAATGGCAAGTTGTCTAATACTTCTATGAAAGCCTATCCGACATGCAAAAGGACATAGTTGATACCTCATGTGGAGGTTCGTATTTCGGAAAACATGAAGATGACATTTGGCACCTTTTTAAAAAAATGAGTGAAAACTCTTTGCACAAATATTACACTTCTCGGCTTGATCATGGTTTTAATAAAAAAGAGAAAAGTGTAACAGTGTGTCAAATTGAAAGTTCAAGGGAAATTGCAGCCGAGGTTAAAACTCTTTCTCAAAAACTTGATCTACTCTTGTTGAATCAAAAACCGGCTATCAATTCATCTCATTTTCATCATACAACTCATCTTTGTGAGCCTTGCATGACATGTTCAAGTGTTTTGAATACTACTTTTGATTGTCCCCATAGACATGTTGTTAATGAACACTTTGAACAAGTTAATGTTACATTTGCTCACCCTTATTCAAATGCATATGTTCCATTGTGGAATGAAAGCTGAAGCCCTTATAAAGCTAAAAATTTTCAAAGAAAATACATTCCACCTTATAAAAGAAATGTAGGTTCTCAAGGGTTTGTTTCTTCTCCTTTCCATCATCAAAGAATGAATGACCTCTCACATCTTCAAATCTATGATTCCCAAGTTAGCTTTCATTATCCTCAAGCACTTTCTAGCAATTCTACATTTGAAGATAAGGTTTTGATGGCCTTGGGTAGCTTAGAAAAGGATACCAACTTGTTGCATTCCCACTCTCAATCTATATCAAAGCTTGAATCCCAAATTGGGACCATAGCTAATACATTGAATGCAAGAGAAATTGGGAAATTTTCTAGTCAACCCGAGAGGAATCCAAAAGCCTAATTTTACGTGGAAGCAAACCCTACATCGGGGTGTTCTTCCCAAGCTCTAGTACAAGCCACCACCACCTTGAGAAGTGGTAAGCAAGTGGACAATAGGGTTGAACTACCAAAGGAAGATAGTGAATCGGTGCAACCAAAAGTTGTTACCCATTCAATTCTTGATTCTATTCCTACTTCCTTAAATGAAAAGGTTCCTAACCGAAATTCTCATTCTTCTCCATCATCCTCTCAAATTACAAAGTCTTATGAGCCAAAAGCTATATTCCCTTATGCTTTAATAGAAACTTCACCTTATGGGAGGCAAGAAGGGAAAATACATGACATAATGGAAGTTTTTAAGTAAGTCAACATAAATCTTCCTCTTTTGGATGCCATTAAGCAAATTCCACCTTATGCAAAATTTCTAAAAGATCTTTGCATACAAAAGAGGAAGAGCAAGGGACTAAGCCCTAAAAAAGTGTTCCTCAAGGAACAAGTGAGCTCCATTCTTCAACAAAACACTCCACTTAAGTTCAAAAATCTTGGTGCTCCGACTATTTCTTATGTAATTGGAAACCATGAAATTCGTAGAGCTCTTATTGACTTAGGTGCAAGTGTTAATTTGATTCCTTACTCCGTATATATTCAATTAGGGTTGAATGAGTTGAAGCCAACCTCGGTGGTGCTTCAAATGGCCAATAGATCCGTTAGAACACCTAGGGGCATAGTTGAGGACATCCTCGTCAAAGTGGATAAATTTTACTTTCTGGTTGACTTTGTAGTTCTTGACACCGAACCGGTTGCTAATCCCACCAACCACATCCCAATCATCTTGGGAAGACCATTCCTTGCTACCACAAATGCAACAATTAATTGTAGATCTGGGATTATGAACCTTTCTTTTGGCAATATAATGGTCAAACTTAATGTTTTCCATGCAAGTCGACATCCCATAGATGAAGATGAGTGTTGCCTTGTTGATGTGTTAGATGAGGTTGTTAAGGAATCAATTCCAACGATGATAATGAAACAACCAATTGAGGATAGTCTTTCATCTCTTTTATCCGATGATCCTCTTGCTTCTTGTCTTCTTGAAATGTATGGAAATTGTTAGTTTGATGATGAAAGATCAATGAATGAAGTAAGCAATCTCATGGAATCTGTTGCAAGCTTAGATTTTCCATCTTGGAAAACTCCAATAGAACCTCTTCCTCCACTCTCTAGCACTCCACCGGTCTCATCTTTAGTTTCTCCACCAACTCTTGAGCTTAAAACTCTACCTTCCAATCTCAAGTATGCATTCTTAGGACCAAAAAAGACTCTTCTGATTATCATTTCTTCAAGTCTTGAAAAAGAAAAAGAAGATGCTCTCTTAAGTGTGCTTAAAGAAAATAAGGAAGCCATAGGATGGAGTGTGGTGGATCTTAAAGGAATTGACCCTTCTATTTGTATGCATCGCATACTTATGGAAGATGATGCAAAACCCTTTAGGGATGCCCAAAGGAGACTTAATCCAAACATGAAGGAGGTAGTTAAGAAGGAAGTTGTCAAACTCTTAGATGCCGGAATCATTTACCCAATCTCCGATAGCAAATGGGTGAGTCTAACTCAAGTAGTTCCCAAAAAATCAGGGATTACGGTCGTTGAGAATGCAAAGGATGAGGAAATCTCTAAGCGCATCGCCAATTCATGGCGTGTATGTATTGATTACCGCAAATTGAATGCCGCCACTAGAAAGGATCACTTCCCCTTGCCATTCATTGATCAAATTCTAGAGAGATTGGCTGGGCAACAATATTATTGCTTCCTTGATGGCTATTCGGGGTTCAATCAAGTAGCCCTTGACCCATTAGAGCAAGATAAAACCACATTTACATGTCCATTTGGCACATTTGCTTATAGACGGATGCCTTTTGGTTTATGCAATGCACCCGCCACATTCCAAAGGTGTATAATGTCAATTTTCTCAGATATGGTGGAAGAGTATCTAGAG